AGTTTTTAGATCATCAAAGCTAGTTGCACCTTTTACATGGCTAAGTAAAGTTTGTAAGTAATATCTTTCACCTTCTGAAGGTTGAACCATATAAAGTCGACCAATCATAGTTGCTGATGATTTTCTAGGTGTCTATTTGCAGTGTGAAGAATTCCAAGTATAATAAGAAGAAAAATCAATATAGGAATATATACGTGCTATTGGGTTTTCCATATTCTCCTGAAACCAAGCTGTTAAGGTTGTCATATGATTTTTAGTATGGTTAGCAACATTTTGAAGATTTTCTTCATCTTGAAATATAACATAGTAATGTCCAGGAAGATGAATAGCAAGTCTCTGTACTTTTGGACTATAGTTATGCAATTTATAATGAAAAATTCTCCAAATACTTTCTGAAGCTGAAACATATCTTGCATCTAAATATATTTTGATTTCATTAATTTGGACAACTTCAGGTGAAAGTTGTTGATTATTGGCTTGGTTGAAAATGAGCAAATGTAACAGTTGCTTGATCATGCCCTTTATATACATATTTATATAGATATTTAACAGCTGTTATAGAACTGCAAATTTCTACATTAATATGAGCATTGTATTTTGTACATAATTTGACATTATGTAGCACAACCCATGTATCGTCTAATGGGATTCCATTTTTAACAAAGTGTACATTGTCTCATCTGCGATAAATAGGATATCCACTATTATTTTCTAAAGTATACTCTTGAAAAGTTTTAGGATAATGTTTTGTACAAACACCATCTTTCATACATGATGCATCAGGTTTTAGTAAACCACATGGACCATTGGGGTGTCAATCATATGTATAATTACAAATATAGTGCAAGCGGCATAGTGAAGATCACTAATCAAGATTTTTTATAATAAAATTTTAAGATCTGCATCTCTAATTAACGCTTATGAAAAATGCGCTTCACTGCGTTCTCAATTTCTCTTTCAGTATTTAATATTTTGTAAAGTTTTAAAAGCTATCAATTTATAAGATATGTTTTTAC